GCATAAAACCACAGCAGACAGCCGTGCACACAGAACCAAACCCACAGGACACACATTCCTACAGGTGAGTTCAGTTTTATTTGATGCTATGACCTAGAGCAGAGGGTGGAAGAATTCACCAATGATTTTCATGAAGTATTCCACTGTTTTTATTTTATTTTCAAAATGAACCTCAGATGAAAGTGATTTTCACCTGCGCACTCAGTTCTACATGGATTCCAGCAGTAAAACAACAAAGGACTGAATGCATCTTGAATTTCTTTCATCATTAATGTGAGACTGAGCTCCTTCAGATCAAAAGCGCTGAGATTTAGCATCAGTTAATCAGAAACATCCRAATTTGGTGTAAAATTGTAGTGATCAGTTAAAGATAATAAATCAAGAAGGTAGGACATGAAATATGAGTCTGGAATAAATAAGAATAAATAAGTATTTAGACCTTGCTGCTACACTAATGAGTTATTAAACTACATGTTTTTTGTATCATTACTTAATTATGAAGTGGGATTCTGAGAAAAGGTCATGAACAATTAAGATCRTACCTGTTGTAAATACCTCTTAGAACAACCTTCATTTGAAGAAACACAGTTTAATTCTAATATCTAGTCAGAGCCGGACTATGACCAAAGTAAATTACTGTTACTTAAACTAACCCCAATCTCATAAAATTTTACTTATAAATTATATTTCTCCAAACYGAAGCTGTWCAAAARGTCATCTGCAACAGGTAAGATATTTATCTTTCATAAACTCTCTGCATAACCCCCACTTTAAATTATCTAAYTATCACTTCAAGCATGTAGCAAAACACATACCTGACAGGTAATTTACCTGGTTACATRTCTGATACTCACTGAGTAATACTAATAGAACATCCTGTTTTAATGTTGGTAAGTTTATATTGCTGACTTTTGCACTCATTATATGAATTATATATAAAATCTCTATCTTTTTTATAAAAAACAAGATTGTCAAAAACCTCTCACTGATGCATGAATAAAATTATGGAGAAGACTGATGTTTTTTTGAGTGTGAACAAATTGTATTTTTAAGAAGTGGTCAGACTTTGTGTATTTCTGTTCAAGCTGTGAAAAAAATAGCCTGGTGTTGTGTTTCAACACTATTTAGTGATCATGGAGGGTTTGATCTCAGCCAGCCAACCCTTCCAACAAAAACCTTTCGGAAACAGAAAGGAGGGCGACACGAAGCCTGGTGAGAAACCCCACGTTGAGGGAGGAACCACAGACGAGGGTAATCTTGATTCAGCTTAGACTAAAACTGAATCCTCTGATCTCTCAAGTTTATTTTTTATTGTAACTCAAATCAGACCTATTTTAGGAATTATATCTAACTTCTCAGCTTTAACAGACCAACGTCTAATGACGAGGGAGGCCCTGGGCAGAAGGAACATCTGGGAGCCGAGTGTTTACTACGCTCTGGGAAAGGAGTCTTTTCATTTTGCTGGACAGGACATCAGCATCCGGGAGTCGATGGACACATATGGTGCTCTGATCTGGCCTGGGGTATGTCCTGCCATGGTTACTCTGCACATTCAGGGGTTTGTGTAAATGYGAAACTGAGAAATGTCATTTTGTATAGGCCATAGCTCTGAGCCAATTCTTAGAGAACAATCAGGAACAAATGCCTCTGATGGATAAAGCAGTGCTGGAGCTGGGAGCTGGGACTGGTTTAGTCTCTACAGTGGCCAGTTTGCTTGGTAAGTTTCACTATGATTTCTTAATACAGTTTGTATGTATGAGAACTTAGTGCTATTATATTGGAACGCAGAAGTAATATGTTTTTGGTTTTGGTACTTTATTTGGTATTTTTAAAACTATTTTCCAGACCACAAATTCCAGACTAATTCAGTCTTGTTAGTTCRATTAGTCAGATTCAGATTACAATAACTTAACWGTTCAGTTCAACCCAGTGCTATGACAATCAGATTCCTACTGAGTTTGAAAGTGTAAAATAAACAGATGGTTGTGTGTAAATGGAAGCCAGAAAATTGTATCAGATTTTCACCTGGAATCTGTGCTTCATTCTGAGCATGGACARAGAAGATAATAAGATACAATAACTTTATTGTCTTTGTACAATGTACAACAAAASTGAGCAGCAATCCTCCAATGTTACTCATCTAATAGTTGCAAAAAATAACATAAAAAATTACACAAATAACCATCTAATAAACACAGAGTAGGGTAAAAGATATTGTACTTTATTTACAGGGAGACAATCAAAACCCAGTTATGTCGTCATTATTTGCTCAGTTCCCGTATAACTTTGGAGTTTGACTGTGATTTGATTGACCTGTAGACAGAATATTACAGACAAAATGGTTCATCCCAATAAAGACCCAAAATCCAATACATCAATAAAAAAATATAGCCCAGGTTACAGTGTGAATTATACTCCAGATTTAAAAAGAAAAAATTGTATAGGTCTTCTGGACGGGTTCTTCTCTAATGAAACGTTTCGTCTCTYCTCCAAGAGACTTCTTCAGTCTGAGAGTTTCAGGCAAAATTCAGGCTTTTAAGCACTGCCTCCATGTGACTGATACTCACATCACATGGCTATCGTTGACACCTAATTAACACCTATTGTTAACAGGGGGTGGAGTGATGCTGGCAATAGCAGCACTGTAGGAGGGGGACAACTGAAAACGGAGGACTCCACCTCTGTTTAATGATGGACGGTCTTTTTTCACAAAAATGGCTTCAAGACCGTGAAGAAAGACCGTCCATCATTAAAAAGAGGTGGAGGCCTCCGTTTTCAGTTGTCCCCCTCCTACAGTGCTGCTATTGCCAGTATCACTCCACCCCCTGTTAACAATAGGTGTTAATTAAGTGTCATTGATAGCCATGTGATGTGAGTATCAGTCACCTGGAGGCAGGGCTTAAAAGCCTGAATTTTGCCTGAAACTCTCAGACTGAAGAAGTCTCTTGGAGGAGAGACGAAACGTTTCATTAGAGAAGAACCCGTCCAGAAGACCGATACAATTTTTTTCTTTTTGATTTTTTACCTGGATTACTGAGATGCATCAGGATACTCCAGATTTAGTCCATTTTATAAAAGCTTGAGTTCAGTTAAAGAGCAAAGTTTGCCCAAATCGTCAGTAAACCCAGAAACATTTGACAAACATTAAAAGCAGATTTTTGAGAAGCAACACCCAGCCTTACAAAAACAACCCACACAACCTGCAGAGCCATCAAAGCACTSAAAAAAGGCCTCTAACTTTAGGAGGTTTTCATACCAGTAAACACATATAACTGTAATAGCATTAACCYCTTTCATAAAACACTTTCAAGTAGGGYTTGATATTACTTTTTTATTTAGGTACGACTACAGTAAGACAGTATGAGAGGTTGAAGTCAACCCAGTGCTTTTACACCAYTGAGCTGTAAGAAAGGTAGTGACAGAGCTGTGAGTGGTTGGTATGTGTAGCTGCCATTACCTCAGAGGTAAGATGAAATGATCAATGATGTGATGAGCAGCTGGCTGTGGGATTCAGAATGATATACAGCACACATTTTGTGWAATGCGTAATGTGTAATATCACAGCTGAGTTTCTCTACACATCTCCTATGGTTTCATGTTTCCAGCTTCAGGTGTGTGATTAGAGCATTTGACGGCTAGAGGCAGCTCAGAGAAAGATTCGTTTTTGAGGCAGAACCATTTTGTTAAAAAGGTCAATAAATTATAACCTGTAGGCTCCATCGTTTTGCTACCACCTCAGTAAATAAGATAAAAATATATATTTTAAGAAGTACTAATGCTAAATGATTTATATTGATGCACAATATTTATATTTAGGTTATGAAAACATGTTTGCAGACTGTATCTGATCAACCTCAGTAATTTTAGTGCTGTTTTTATCTTTTTGTCTCATCAACTAAAATAAAAATCAGTCACCAAAAAGGACACATTTAGGTTTTAATTTTTCCTTCCTTTTGTTATATTTAGGTGCTTGGGTGACAGCTACTGATCAGCCTGAGATTTTGTCCAATCTGACCTTCAACCTTCGAAGGAACACTAAGGGCCGCTCCCGCTACACCCCCCAGGTGGCTGCCCTCTGCTGGGGTCAGGACCTCGAACGCCACTTCCCCTACCCGTCCTACCACTACGACTACGTGCTGGCTGCTGACGTGGTCTACCATCACGACTTCCTGGAAGAGCTGCTGAAAACCATGCTTCACTTTTGCAGAGCAGGAAGTGGAACGACCTTACTGTTGGCCAACAAGATCCGCTTTCAGTCAGACCTCAGGTTTATAGAGCGCTTTGGGAGCAAATTTAACACCGTGCTGCTCACTGAGCTGCCACAGCAGGAGGTGAGGATATACAAGGCCACAGCCAAGGAGTGACACAGTTAATCCAGAGGTGTGAAATTCCTTAGATTAGGTTTTGTAATTAACTTTTGAGTGGAACAAAAACTTTTTTTTGTTTGTTTTTCTTTTTTCTTTTTTGTTGATTGCAATGCATCAGTTTGTATACTAAAAATGCCTACCTAATAGGATGTTTATGCGTCAGGACAGAATTTCTATTATTATTACCAGGTTCTAAGATTTTTYTAATTTAATCTAAGTGAACAAAAGAAAAAAAAGCAGATTCAACAATGACATTATTAAACAAAAACTGTGATGATAAACTAAGTCCACCATTCAGTTCACAGGTAAAAGTTGATGACATTTAAAAAAAACTGAGCAAGCATGGCTTGTTTGGAAGTGGTCCAAGAGAAAGTATTTTCTTTGAAAAGAACACGTTGGTGCGATTAATGTTTGCACAGCTGCATCTGAAAGGATGTTTATCCATAATGCACAGTTCCATGTTTGCAGCATTTCAGCACAAACACCTGACAGTAACTGTAAAGCACAGAGGTGGAGGGCGATGGTTTGGGTTGGTTTTGCAGTTACAGAATCTGGACACCCTGCAGTCACTGAGTCCAAACCAAAGTCCAATCTGTGGTTGCCTATTCAACAACTGAGGCTCAGCTCAGAACAAATTGGATCATGAAGGACTACAATCTTAAACACARCAGCAAATCTACAACAGAATAACTAAAACAAGAAAAATAATCAATGGTTGTAATGTCCAGTCAAAGTATASACTTCAGAACGCCTGAACTGCTCTGTGAACTTTAGGAGAGCTGTGCAAAAACAAATATCTGTAAACTGATGTTTAAAAAATGAAAAAAATGTATATATA